TCATGAACAAGCAATGTTAGCTTTTACTATTAACTGCTTTCTCTGCTTATTATCTAACATTCGAGGAAGGAAGGATATGAGCATTATTTATGGTTTCAATCAGAATTTATCATTGGGACATCTTTTTCTCTTATCATTACAATGATTCATATCATTCAGGAATGAATTGCTCTAAATCATTTTTGAGAAATTCTTGAAAATGGGGGAGTGATTACTGCTTGCATAAAGTAATAACAAGTACCTATTTAGGAGAATTAAATTAGGAAAAAGTGGTTACTAATTACTTTTCAATCTCCAAGAATTACGTCATGCAAATAATGCTCGTTATTAGCTCTTTGAGTTCTTTAACCTAATTAATGTTTGCTTCTTGTTTTTGCTTCACTTACCACACTTAGTCATTTCTGATTTCATAGTTTTGAAGACGAATGAATGAAAGCTTCATGAAAAGCATCATTTTTGAAATTTTAAAATTAAAATTGATAGTAATGGAAATTTATCTCTGAATGAAATTTGAATATTCACTTTATGAATATTTCACTAACTTATTATCGTTTCTTACTTGTAATAACTTGATACTTTTTATAAATTAAATTGAACTAAATACTACAAATGAAATTATCTGTTTAAATGAAGTGATGTAAGTTATATTGATATTTCATTTCAAATTTTAATACATTATAATCCATCAGTGGAATTTTTTTCCTCCAAATACTTAACATTTAGCTTTATCAAAAATGCTGGAACTGTAATAAATGATGTTCTCAAATTTTCAATGAATTTATTTCCATTTATAATAATTAATGCGGAAAAAATAATGTGAACAGTTGTCAGCAGCCGTAGTTAATGTTTCATAATAATAGTTAAAACTGTAAATTTTAAATATACATATCTAAGCATTGCACAGCTTATAGAAAATTGAAACCAAATAAAAATCGATTTATGACTTGTAAAATAAACAGCAGTGACTAACTAGCAATATTGGTTATGTATTTTGAAGTCAGTCGACTTTAAGAGCACTTCGTTTACTCTGCTCACCTTCGTGCGGCTTTTTTAATCGAATTTTCGTATCTTATTGAAGCATCTACTAGGTCGTAATTTTAAATCGTTATTTTTTGTTGACCAATAAAATGTTAAGATTTTTAAAGCTTCAGAGAATTACCGTTGATTAACAATACATAGGTTTTGTTTATACTTCATTGTTCAAGGCTTAAACTAACTTTTTTCCTTTTTTCACAGAAAAAGATGAGTGAAACGAAAGGTAAGAATAATCAGTGGTATCAATAAGGTAAGAATATCAGAATAATATCTGAATAGTCATAGATTATAAGTATAATACAGTAATTGTCATTTTAAACAGGTAATTTTCAACCGATAACTTCTAACCATTAGTTAACATTGTTTACATGACTTTTTTGATTTCTAGATTGGATATAATTTTATTTCAGAAGTTGTCCAGTTCGCTTGTTATGTATATGTCTTAGTGATTAACGAGCTATTTGTGTTTAACAATTAAAAAGTGATTTAAATTTTCCCCTAGCATTTACGTTTTTTCCCTTTTTAACTTTTCGAGGAGAGTAATTTCCTCGCATTACTGTTTAGAAAGGAAATTATTTTTAGAGAATTAAATATCCGTTAATTAACTTTGCTTGTTGTTTTCGATTTCTTTCTCAATTAAAATATCAATGAATTAACTTGTTGTCCAAATTATAATATTAACTGTTCTCGATTTCTTTCCAAATTATTATTTCTATTATTCTGTACTAAACATTTTACTTCAATAGAAGTTTTAGGTTTATGCTAAGATAGAAATTTGTTACACATAGAATAGTTGAAATATTGGAACGATAAAATGAGAGGTTTAAAATTGATATTTGAATTTTAGAAAGAAATCACAATTTAGTTTGCAATTCAATTTATGGCTTTAGCAAGACTACTGACAGATGACATTTTTTGAATTTTTTAAATAGACATTTTTTTTTTTAATTTCAACCGTAATAAGCATAAGTTATTGACATCTTCATATACATTCGATACTTGAATCAAATTATTTTCTATAATTTGTAAAGTACTTTCAAAAGGTTCTGATAACATTCTTATACGAACGATTCAATCTGATAACATTTTTATGTTCTGCATTATACACAATCCAGGCTACCTATGGAACACACAATTCTTTTGGGAGTAATAATCATTATTTATCAAATTACTCGTTACATCTCATCTTCGTCAATTATTATCAAATTCATATATAAATTACTTCTCCGCAATATTACGAAGTTTACCGGTGCTTTATTTTTTTGAATGGAAGGAATTCTCTGAAAACTTTTTCTTATTTTGTTCACAACCAATCATTTTGATCTTTTTAAATTGCCCTCAAAACATTAAAAATCAACAATTTCGAATTTATAGAATCTATAAACTCTTAATTGGAGAATTGAAATTTCCATTCATTTTTATAAAAAGATATGATACGACGATACAAAAAGCTTCTATCTCTCAGAATCATAGCAGATTATTATATGCACGGAACTGACGAATGCAGTACTTTTGTTTGTTTCCGATATTATAAACTCTTCTTTATATACTCTTGCAATCAACAACTATATGAAATACATACTAATCTTCACCGCAAATATATATACTTCTTTTGGAATGAATATTCACAGCATTCTCAACAATGTTGATCAAATGATGAATAATTTGTTGAGTAAATTGGACAGTTATAGGAAGAGCTTCTACGGAAACATTCTGGAAAGATATAGTTATTCAGCATATTACTTCAATTTCACATCTAATCAATTATCGATAGCATAGTTTTGCATTTGTTCTTTTGAAGCAATTCTTCTTTTTTTTAGAAATATTTTGTTAAATTATTCCTCATAATATTCATACTTTCGAAAATTATTCTTGTCGAGAATTAAATAATTCCCTAAAATATCTCAATCATTAACATTTGAAAAGTTCATTGCAGAAATGAAAATTTATACAGAAATTAAATATCTCCAATTATAATTTAAAGAATGATTTAATAATTATTTAACGAAAAAGATTTAAAATTTGAATTTCAATTACATTATTGTTTTTTGATATAAATATTAAGTGAAGAAAATGAATAAATAATATGTCAATATATCAATATGTTAAATGATAATTAATCGAAAAAGTAATGCAAAAAATATTACTTATCGTATATTGATTGATAAGAAATTGATTATTGTTTATTTAAATTCCTCTTTTTTTCTCAACTTTTATAGAAATGAAAGAAATATTGCTATATCCAACAGGTAAATAAAAACAGGTAGATATTAAGAGAATTTTATTACTGAAGTTTTTCAAAGGATATACATATATTAAACAATTTTCTTCTCCAAAAAAATGCCCTATTAAAAATAGTTCTTTTTCCTTTTCTTCGTTGAAATTACAATTTCATTGAATAATTTTATTTTAAGGGATAAAATAATTTCCCATAGGAAAATTATCATTTAAATTACTTAAGTTCGGTTCATTATACATTTCATTTTCTTTCACAATAGCATTCTCTTATTATCGGGTTAAATTGCATGTAAATTTAATTTCAATGAATAATTTATATTGATGAGATAAAGTAATTTCCCATAGGAAAATTCGAATTGAATTGAACAAATCGATTGGATTTGCAACTATGAATTAACTGATTATATGATTTCCTCTTTTATTTCAGAATTTTTTTTGTTTCTTCAAAATCGTTAATTTCATCCTTTTATCCAATCTTTTAAAGGTTTGCTGAAAGAAAATGCTATAGGAGGATAAATCTTGCCTTTTTGTCTTTAAAATTTATCATAGAGACTAGATAAATGGAATAGGCTAATACCAGATAGCCTAATGCCAGATAGGTGCATTTAGCAATGAAATATAAAATTCTCTGTATTTATCGGAAATCCAAAACTACCTTATAATAATAATGTTCAAGTTATGAGAGTATTTTGCAAAAATTCATATTGTAAAAATTTATTATCTTAAAACATTGTTAATTAAATAATTTATGGTATCGTTTACAAAAAAATCACACTATTGTTTACTTATGATTGCAAATTATATGATTAATTACAATCTTTATTATTTAATTTAACTTAAAATTTTGGAATAATTAATCACGTATATCGAATAACCCTTCTAATTTATAATGAATTTCAACACTATCAATTATTTTAATCTTTGATCCTAATTTGGCTATAAAAGGATTTCATCATTCATCATGCGATTTCTTCTTCCTTGTTCCGCTCGTATTTAAATCTGTTTTCAATCTTATTCCCAAGCTTCAAATTCTACATCTTATTATATTAGTCATTAATAAAACTAATTTCAAGTTTATTGGTTCTCTCTACCTCTAAGAAATGAAGAACCTCTCCAAAAGTAATCATTCTTTATCAAATAATTCACAACAAAGTTCTCCCAAAATTAAACAAATTAAAAATTCATAATAATTTTCATCTATGCTTGCATTACTAAATTCGATTTGTCCGACATGCTTTCCAAACATTTTCAGAGCTTTTATTTTGATATCAATCGCCTGGACAGGTAGAAATAACTAACTATAAGAAATTCTTGATCTTGAATTACTACTTTTAACTTATTATAAGAGAAGTAACTAACTATAAGAAATTCTTGATCTTGAACTACTACTTTTGATTAACTATAAGAGAAACAACTAACTATAAGAAATTGTTGATCTTGAATTACTTTTCTCTCTTTTTTCATCGTCATCTTTTGCATTCAAAAATTTGTTAGATCTAATTGAATAATTAAAATAAATTAAAAAATGTCCGAATCAGTTGATTGGATTATTATCGTTATCATTGATAAATCTGAAAGGATTTTATTATATTATATTTCTTTTTCGTTGTCATATGAATTGACAATATTTTAATGAAATGAAGACAGCAATATTAATTGCTATTCGCATTTACTTAAAAAAATAAAAATGAAAATTATTCATTTCCATTATTTAGGTATATCGAGCAATGTCGTTTAACGTGCGTTTACCTTTAGCCAAGGCTGTTTTCGATCATTTTATTGGCCTTAAGCCACATCCATCTTTTTGTCAGGTACACTTTCTGCAGATTTTCATTTTATTCTAAAATTTTTCGCCAATTTATGCACAAAATTCAAACATTACTTGTGTTTTAGGCAACATACATATGGATCGATGGGACAGGAGAAACTCTGCGCTCAAAAACACGAACAATTGAAAATGTACCGAAAAGTATTAATGGTTAGATGAATGATACTGTTGCAACAATTTCCAGATATAAAAGAAATCGGAAATTTTTAAGATTCGTTGGATTCAATGAACGAATTTTCATCAATATTTACCCACAAAAACAAAATTTTATATTTTATGCTATCCTGGATTTTTTTAAGGTTTTCCATTATGGAGCTTTGATGGTTCCTCGACTGGACAAGCTCTTTCGGGTCAAGATTCTGATACATATCTTAAACCTGTTGCACATTATCCTGATCCATTTCTTGGCGGCAACAACAAACTTGTTTTGTGCGAAACTTATAATCATGAAATGAAACCTACCGGTTTGTTTAACTTAGCTTAGCTGTAATTAACTTAATTTAATGCTTATGAACAACTTAACTTACTTTGACTTATGTGAATATTTGCATTAATTATCCTTCCCAGGGTAGTGAAAAGCTTCCTTTTATATTACAGTATACCTTGATGCCGCATAGCTTAATGTTATGAAAAATTTATTAACATCGCGTGTTATTTTTATTGAAAGGCTTTTAGTTTATTAAAAAGAAATAATTATTTAAAAAAGCTGTTGCTTTTAAATTAAAAAAAATATATCATTAATTATATTTTAAGAAGGGTAATAGAAAAGCTACAAATTTAGGTAAAAATTTGAAAAGTCTTAATTAGTGCAATCGAAATAAATAATTAAGCTTTGATTTTTACCTTTTAGATAACTTTTCGATTAATCTTCGTATTTTTGATAATTTTCTTGAAATTACAGCCACCAACCATCGTAATTTCTGCAACGAAATTATGGAGAAATGCAAAAGTGAGAAAATATGGTTTGGTATGGAACAGGAATACTTACTTTTGGATAGGTATACAATTTACTAAATTACTTCCCATAATTTCCATTTTTATTCCATCCCTTTTTTTGGCATTCATTCGAAATCAGCAAATAAATTTAGCAAAATTTAAATGGATAGCGTAATCAAAATTTTACAGGGATGGTCATCCGTTAGGATGGCCAAAACATGGCTTTCCGGAACCACAAGGTAAATATTACTGCGGGGTTGGAGCAGATAAAATATTTGGTCGACAAGTGATAGATGCGCATTATAGAGCTTGTTTATATACTGGCTTACAGCTTTTTGGCATTAACGCAGGTGCGAAAAAAGAAGTTTCAACAATTTCAATAACAATAAACTTGATTATTTCATAATCGATCACGAATCAAACTTTTCGGATATATTTAAGAATTTCGGGATATTTCAAATTTATTGTTGTCATTCGAGCAGTATAAACAAAAACAACGTAGCATACTCATAACAATTTGGTTGAAAGCGGTTTGTCAAAATAAACGCTATTGTTGGATAAAAGAGGAAAAATTTATAAACTTTTCAAGAACTTACGGATTTATTTAATCATTTTTATTAGTTATCTTTTTGATATAAAAGATAGGTGGAAGTAAGAAAAAAGGACAAATATTCTTGTCTACACTCGTATTGTGTAAGGTGATGAATATATTTTAGTTTAATAATTCATTGATTGAATTGTATTAGTAATTTGAACTTGCTATACTGGAGATAACCTTAACTTTTATGATACTATCAAACTTTACTTCTTTCATGATACTATCAAACTTTTGAACGTTCATCTTTAATTAATTCATTTGATATGTTACAGAAGTAACACCTGGACAATGGGAATTTCAATTAGGAACATGTGAAGGTATTTCTATGGGCGATCAACTTTGGTTGGCACGATATTTACTGCATCGCGTTGCCGAAATGTATGGCGTACTGGTTACATTCGATCCGAAACCAGCAATAACACGTTGGAAATTCTTTGTTACTTCACCATATTCTAAATTTTCCTCATTTATTTATTGTTTACTAATTCGAAGTATACTTTTCAGTTGGCAATTGGAATGGCGCTGGCTGCCATTGTAATTTTTCTACAGAGAAAATGCGCTCGGAAGGTGGTATTAAATACGTTGAAGAAGCAATTAAAAAGCTTGAAAAGAAACACAAAGTATTAAAAATTTTCTAATATTTTGTCCAAAGAAATAATTATTTTTGTAAAAAAATATTATTTGCATATTTAATTTTAGGAGCATATAGCTGTGTATGATCCGCATGGTGGCAGCGATAATGTACGTCGCTTAACGGGTGAACACGAAACATCGAGCATTCATCAATTTTCATGGGGTGTAGCTAATAGAGCGGTTTCAGTTCGTATACCGAGAATTGTTGCCAGAGAAAAAAAGGTTCGGTTTTTGATAATTATTCGAATATGAGATAATCTCTTCAAAAATCTAACTTTTACTAAATATATTTTGAATGATATAAATTTTTGGAATAAATCAAATCGATTTTTTTGTTCTCATAATTATTTCTTTCGTACCTTTTCCATAATTTTCTTTTCTTTTTACTACGAGAGAAAGAAAATAATTCAAGCAAACTTCGAGTAACAAAAATAGCAAATGATCAATAAAGATTTTATTATGATTTTTCTTTTGAAGGGTTTCCTGGAAGATAGACGTCCATCATCGAATTGTGATCCATACGCTGTCACTGGAATAATGACAAAAACAATTTTACTAGATTGAGCTTAAATCAGTTGATATCACTGATATTAGTTTGTTGCTATTTGCCAATTATTTTACAAATATGTTATTTTCAAATTTAATTTCTTAGAGTGAAGTTTCAGAAAAAAAGAATCGAACTTTGCAATGATTTCAAATGTTTGTTTATGAAAATTAGATCTAACCTTTTAGATTTTGCCTTAGTTTATTTAGCAATTCAATATGACAACATTCAGGCTCGAAATAATCATAAAAATGACATTTTACTTTATACAATTAATAGTTCAATTATTGATTATTGTTTTAATTTGTTTTTTGCAAACAAACATTGAAATTATTACAAGTTTGAATTCTTTTAAAATTATACTTAAATTACATCTTTTATCTTTTAATTTACAAAATTTTTGAGGTAATTAAGGCAATTGATTTAATTAATTTCAAAAGCGAAATTAAGCAAAGTTCTATAAAGTACTATTGATTTCTCTTCTAGAACTACTTTTTGGTTTTTAATCATTTTAAAGTTATTTATATTTAAAGTAATATCATTCACTTTTCATTTCCGGTTAAATATTCCGGAAGTGCTCATAATGGAAATATATAGTTTACAGAAAAATACGTATATTGGATTATCCATTTGCTAAATTCCAATTCAAATTACTATCGCTCTATGTAGCAAACATACGTAAAGCGAAAAAATAGTTCAGTGGAAGGAATGAAAAAATATTTCACATTTATTTTTCATACATGAAGAGTTTAATATAACAGTATGCTTTCTTTAATGCTACTTTTTTCATTTGAATGCAAATGAATGGGAAGTATGAAAGAGAGAGAGAGAGAGAGAGAGAGAGAGAAAAAGGGATAAAAAGAGGAAGAGTTTTATTTCCTTTCTTATTATTCTCTTTGTTGTGTTAAGGCGGAATTATTCATCACACAACTTTAATTCAAATATGATCTGCTTTGTATTATGTGATTAAATAATTATAACATTGTTTAATGAAATGAAACAAAATAGATTATAAGAAATCTAGCTCTATACTTCCTTGGATGATGACAATATTGAAGTTGGCAGTGGACATGGACAATAGTAGACATGTGAACTAGGTAGTCCAGGTAATCCAACCTAAAATTTTAATTATATAAGAGTGCTGCAGTAAATCATGAGTTTCTATTTCGACAATGGATTTTGTTTACAATCGAGAAATGAGAGATCTTTTTAGACAAATAGATATTAGCAAAATTGATAGCACCATTTTCTTGAGCTGTATAAAAATCTCACCATTCCTAGTTGTCCATTTTTGCCCTCCTCTCCAGAAGTACCAAATCGTCCGGGTAAACCTGGTTTACCGGGATGGCCACGAACACCATCATTACCATTCCTACCAAGAGGGCCAAGTAAACCACGTTGTCCACTTGGACCTTTTTGGCCCACTACACCTTTTCCATTTATTCCATCCAATCCCGGTAAGCCGGGTTCTCCTGGTCTTCCAGAAATACCCGCTGGCCCAGACTGTCCCGCATCTCCTCGTCTACCATTCGTACCGTTTTTTCCTGGAAATCCAGCACTCCCAATACGTCCCATTGGACCACGATCACCAGGAGAACCAGGAGGTCCAGGTAGTCCAGGTGGACCAGATGGACAAGCAATGCAATCACCAAGTTTTCCATAGTTGACCACGGTAGTAATACTTGGTATACCATGATGGCCATCTTCTCCCGGTTCTCCATCTAAACCTTTCCATCCATCATGACCTCGTGATCCAACTGGTCCTTGTGGACAATCTGTAGCGGAAAGATCACATTCTGAAATTTCGAGAAATTCAAAAGCAAGGAAAAAAGATTAATCATAGCAGCTAGCATCAGTTACAATTTTACTTTTCTACAATCAATATTTAAAACTCACTGCAACGTTCTGGATCAAGCTGTCGTTTATGACGGACAAATAAATCAGCATAGGTTAGTGCTATTCGTAGATTACCCGATGGGTAAGTGTGCAGCAAATGCATGGTGTCCCATGCGTCATCTGCTATTATCTGAATGTCAAATGTCAAGGTTGAATTTTATGATAAATCATATTACGAATTAAGAAAAATATTTTCAACACTTCTTAATACCATTCATCTGAAAGATGCATAGTACCAAAAAGTCATTCTCATGCTTTAGTATAGCGGATTTAAAAGTATTTTCATGTTTTCTAATGATTTCATTTGCCATAAATTAATCAGTCTTTTTTTATATGAACTTTCAATTTAAAAGTTCATAGCAGTAATTAGCATAATTCTAAATCTAATGGCAAAATGATGTTTTTCATTTCGACCTTTTCAATTAATTATTTTACTTTCATGTATAAAATTTTAATGAAGAAAATTTGCTATATCGGTGCCCGAAAATATAAAATGGATGAAAATAAATTAATAAATAAACAAATAGTTGTTTTGAAAAGAAAATTTGGATGAAATAAATTGAAGTAAAATATAATATTTTAAATTTTATATCTTTCATTTTGTAATGTTTCAGTAAGTCAATAAATCAATAAAGATTTCAGCTTTGGATAGCAATAGATTTATTATTTCATGAAAATGATAGAACAAAGCTTAGTTCCGCATATAGTTTTATATTAGTAAAGAATAAAATTTATTTTTCGTTGAGGTAAAAAAGATGATTGGATAACTTCTTGAATATTTTAATCATCTTATCAGTACTATTTTCAATGCTAGTGTTATTATTATCTGCAAACCTTATTATCCTACTTATTATTTTGTATCAAAAAAGAAAAATGGAAACCTTGAAAGCATGAAGTTCTTCCATAACATCTTCATATAATGTGCTAATATCATTGAAGAGCGATACGACAACAAATAATGTCACAATTATTGCGCATCCACTACTTACTATGGCCGTAGTAATAAAAATCTTGGCGCACATTATTCATACACTAGACTGAAAAGGATCAAAGCAAAAAATTAAAAAAAAAATTCAACCTCTTTTAAATTTTGTACTCAAACGCTTTATGATAAAACAATTATCTACAGAGGTATACGAAGATCGTGATGAAACTTCGTGCCAGATTAATGAAAGAAAAGGAAATGAACTTAAGGATTAAATGTCAGCCTAAATTTGGCGAAACATTAGAATAAAACTAAATCATCATTTGACGAACGATTTCATTGTTTAAATTCTTTGATGTGATAGGCATAAAATGAGCTAAATTCAGGAGCAACTTTACTAAATTGATTGAATCGTATACGAATGTCATTAATGGCAATTGAAATTCTTGAAAATGTGTGATCATTTCTCAGAAAAAAATTGACAAAATGTTGAAATTATCAAAAGGCATCCATCCATTTCACTTTCTTTTCCAAAAACTTTACTAAATTTTAATTTGTTGAAGGATTTTTATGGCGAAGAATCATTCGCCCTTGAATCTTTCTTTATGCTTTCGTTTTCTTTTCATTGATGCTGATAACCTTGAATTTTTGACATTTTTTTCGATCGTAAAAACAAGGAATAATTTTTAAAGTTGCAAATTCCTGGGGGAGAAAAAGGATCTTTCATTTCAAGGGCATATGTTAATGAAATGATTAATAAATTAAGAAATAATGCTTAAATTCATTTAAAAAGTGAATAATGATTGATTGGTAATAGGAGAAAATATTAACTATAGTTCCTTATATATAAGAAGCAACCTATTTGTTGTCACTTAAATTTCGCGCAATTTGTTGAAGTGATCCTCTGCAAACTTTGATCTTATGATGAAATCGTTCTTATCATTCGTATTCATTCATTCTTGCAGACATTGAAGAAAAATAATACAAAATAAATTGAAACGATTTGAAATTTCAATAAACTATTTCTTTATGGGTAAATATTGCTCAACAAGGCGATATTTAAGTTATTTCATATGCATTGATTGAGAGGATTGCAAAATTTTCGGTGTCGCAAAACCATAAGTTATTCCTTTTAGTATTGAAACACTGAATTAAAAACTCAATAATGCTAATTTCAAATATTCATCTCCTATCTTCAAAACTACTATTGTTTTGGAAATATTTCTTAGTTGCCATTAGGCTACTATTGCCACTAAAACTAACCAACAAAATTTACAAACAAAAGTTTTACCAAATTTTTATTTTCAACTTCTATAATTGATTACGATTTTTAAAAGTTATAAGTTAACACAATTTCAGTTAGTTCAAAACGATGAAATAATACATATGAAGTCGTAGTGTTTCATTTTACACATATATAAACCTACTGATTTTTCGTTAATAAAATAGAAAATGAAAGGAAGATTTAGAAAAACAAAAAAACAACTTTAGGAAATTTTGGTAAAATTGTTTGGAAAATAATCAGTCGATTGTCATAATTATTATTACCGTATTTTATTTTATTGATATTAATTTCAAATTTCATTAGTACTTTTAGATTTTCATGAAACTATGATTAAGCCATTCGTCATATTCCACTAACCCTTTTTTAATGACTAATTTGTCTGATCACAATTTAATTGAATAAAGTTTGATTTAATAAAAGCAATTATTATTTTCAGTGAACTTTTATAGTTGTAATTTCATTGTTAATGACGAAAATTTTCACTGCTCTGGGAAATATATTACAATATATTTGGACAAGAGAACGTATAGGAACTTCTATCTTAACAATAAATGATAAAATCTTTAGCAAATTACAGGTAGTGTAGTTTGCTCCTGGCACTTAGCATAATTCTCTTAGCAGATGATTCATTCTCTTATAGGTATTTTTCTTTCCTGAAAGTTGACAGTATAATAAATATAAAGCAACTCATATGATCAGAGACAATGCCAATGTACTTTTTAAAAACCTTTTTTTTTCATAGTGGAAAGTCGTTTCCCAAAACTTAGTAAAGAAAAAAGGAATTAACTAAATGTAATTTATGATGGATATTTATTTACAGATGTTAGAAGCCATCAAATTTTATTTTTAGAAACTTTACACTCTTCAGGCTATAATTAATCAAATATAAAGAATGGAAAAATTGTTGTGCCACAGAAAAAAAGGTCCGGTCCTTCTCTTAGATAAAATCCGTTAAATTTGCACACCTCCTTCACTCACTTTGTACAATGATGTTCATTCCAAAAGAGCTGTCAGGTTTATAATATTTGATAAGGAAATTTAAAAATCAATTTAATTTATTCGTGTTTTCTTTTCCCTGGAAGAATTCGATCAACCACAATTTGGTATTGACGACTTAAGACCTGAGATGACACCTTATCAACGAAGGAAAAAAGCCAAAAAGAATGTGGACTCAGATTATTGGAAAGTAGTAAAATCTATTTTCAGAAACAATATAAATCTTTTTTTTAGAAAGAAATGGAGCTTTACATGCCACTTACGTGCTCGTCAGGAGAAAATGTTCAATTTGAATTGTGCAAATAGACACGGCCAAATTATCAGACTGGTAACGACCAAAGGATATCTCCAAATTTTTTTGATAAGGAAAATAAGCTTTGAGTTAAGCAAGAAACATACTTGTGAAATACCAGAATAAATAAATGAAAGCTAACGAAAAGGAATTTTTGAGTGAGAAAGATGTTAAGGAAATATATTCGTCATTGTGGTGACGACTTTTATTATTTATTTCAATCAGAATACAAATTTTATGATATTTTGGAAATGAGTGAATCAATGCCATGCTAAAAACCACAATATTACAGGCGAGGAAAATAAAAGAACAAATTAAACGTGGAAAGCATGAGATATATTCTTTAAAAGTAGAATTTTATTTGTGTGCTATTTGTCATATTTCGATGAATAAAAATATCATACATATTTTCGAAAAATTCCGAAGACCTTTTGTTTAAAAATTAAACAATATTATTGTACAAATTAATTTAAAAAGAAAAATTAAAGGTCAACAGTTACAACGGCAGCGGGACAACTTTTTCTTCTTTTCGCTCGAGGTATCTTCGTCGAATTTCTTCAATTTTTTCTGAATCATTTCGATGAGCTAATATCATTTTGATTATTTCCAGTCTGCAAAACGACAATACTTATTTAAAAGAATTCTCTGTGAGCACAACAAAAAATATTCTAGAATTTTACAGTAAAACTGAAGAGTTAGGAACACAATTTCAGCCGAACAAGGCATGCCTTAATCTCAAGAATTTGCATTTTGTTTCATTCAAAGTTCGAGGAAGATTGCTTATCAAACCTTTCTTCTTTAGTTTTCTCTTTCACAGTTCTTTTCTTCAGTTTATGGTTTTCCTCTTCTCCGATTTCCTGTTTCCCTTCAGACTTTTTGTGTTCCTTTTTTTCCATAGAATGATGTTCACGAAATTTATCATGATGTCTAGTAGAATTCTTTTCTTTGTGCGATTCAGAGCTGAAACTAAATACAATAGTTTTAAATTGAAGTTTCAAAAAAAACAGCATACCCTATAATATTTTACCTTTTTTCCTGCCGCTGTCTTTCACAGTCGTGTCCCTTCTCATGTCTCTCCATTCGCTTTTCCCGCCTCTTTGATAATTCCTCATCACTGCTGCTACTTGCTCCTAAATGATCTGGAGATGGCGTGAAATGCCGCCGAATCTGTTCTGCTCTTGTTGGTTTTTTCACTTGCGGTTTCTGAAAACGGACGAGACTTCCAATCAAATGAACACCGTGGCAGAATCTAGATTAGTATAATTTATTCCAACATAATTCAAAGCTTGAAAACAATAAAATCTCCCAAAAAGCACATAGGGTAATAAATATTTGACCAACTTTAGAATTATCTGAAATTTTAATAGAAAACATGTTATTTCTTCGGAATATGGCTTCCTTTTCGAAGGAATATATATATATATATATTGTGAAATGCTCCATCATTTGGATATACTTAAAAGAAATTGAAAGAAACCAAAATATTTAAGCCAGGCTTTAGATCTACTGATATTGCGTTATTCAACTCTTGTTCTTCGTCTGAATTATCAGAATATATCGACTGTTCCACCGGCTTATCAGTGGACAATTCCAGAAATCTACCATCACTGTTGCTCTCTTTCCGCAAAGAAAAAAGCTTTTTAGCATGCTCAGCGGAATCTACGATTGTCTGTTGCAAATTTACTGGGCTTATAATCTAAAATAACACACGTCACCATGTTAAAATTAATTTCTGTTTCCTTGGCAAAAATTTTTTTTTTTTATTCAACTCTGGACAAGCGAATAGAATAAAAAACAGAAAGATGAATAAATGACGTTTATAATGAATAATTCGAGATTGTTCGTACTACTCAAATAGAAAAACCTAATCATAAACCTCTTCCTTTATCTCTTTTCCTTCTCTTTTGATTGTACTACTATCTCTAGCAATATCATCCAACAGCGTCCTATAAAGGCCACCTTTCCATACATCACTCTTTTGCTTTTCCACTGCTGTCAATTCTGAAAAACCAAATTTGATTTGGCTGACAATTTTTAAATCATAAACATTTACCATCTTGATAATGAACACATTAAAAATATTCAAGGATTAATTAACCAATAATTTTTTAACTTAGCCAGCACTCAGATACGATTGACTGTTGAAAATTCTGTGATCTTGCTAGCCTCAATGAAAGGCTGTCTTGTGAACGAGGATTTAGCTTACAAAAAATGAAAATGAACCAACCATCAAGCTGATTGTCAACTGCTTCTTGTAAACGGAAATTTTCCATTTCTGCTAGCTGTTTTTTATATGCACTTGTCACGAATTTCTGTAAAATATCAATTTTTTCCGAAGCAAAGAATCAACAAAAAAAAAAGATTATATTTGAATTGCAACACACCTCCTTATCATCAAATTGCCCAGCTTCTGCTTCGCGTTCTTTCTGTTGTTTACGCTCTTCTCGACTTTGCTGCATAAGCAAACGTTTTTTGTGCGCCTCCAGAATCTGCTCTGCGTACTTTGACTAAAATAGCTGTGCTCAACATATTGTACAGCAGGTTGATTGGAGACACCTAATAATCGGACCAAAAATAAGGGATGCGGATATCAAACTACTCATCATTATTGAATCCACTTCTCAAAGGTAGAAAGCCAGAATAGAAACGGTACTTTAGAATAAGTAAACGATTTCAAATCAAATCAAAAGACTACATTATATTGTCTTACGAGAATTTGAAAAAAAATGACTTTTTTCTAATGCAAACTTTACTGTCACTACTACTAGTTTAGCCATAACGAATCTTAAGAAAAACACAGTAAAACAAGAAACCAAGAAAAATTCGACCCATAGTTATATGTTTCACAATGCTTCATATATTTTTTTATATGTTTTTTTTTCAGTGTTTCAAATGTTTCATACAATGTTTTATATATTTTTTTTTATATGTTTCACAACGTATCGAAATGTTGCACACATATAAAATGTTGATAGCAGCTCGCATTGGGAAACTATACAACTCTGATAATAAAATGGGCATTTATGGTGTTCACGTTGCATTATACAAGGTAATTTTACGCATTATACAAGATAATCTTAAATAAAATGTGTTTACTAAATCTTGCACTCTGGCTCTAAGTAATTATGCAGCTTCGGAACTGTGTTTTCAGCTATGAAAAAAGCCAAGTGTACCTTTCGTTCCTCGTCTGCAGCTTTGATTTCTGCAATCTTTTGGTTTTTCTTTGCTTGTAATTCGTCATACACGTTATCGTAATCAAAAATTGTTGGATCTTCAGCAAGTGCTCTCTCGTGCTCACGTTTTGCTTGCATTTTTGAGCGCACTGTCGATGAAGTGACTTTACTTGATGACGTAGTCTGTGAGTACAATAATGAAGCAATTCAAAATTAATGATTGAAACCCATTCCATTTTTGATGGGAATATGGCATTAGATACGTTTCTGAAACTGAAAATACCTCAATCCCATCATCGTCGTCACTCGCAAATGCAGCAGCAACTGGCTTAACAACTGGTTTCAAAAGTTCAGATGGCTTCTTTAAAATCAAACCATATCTAAACAGAATAGCTTAGGACTTTGAAATCATAAAAAGAAATAAAAAAGCTTCAGAGCAAGATGTATTACTTCTTCAATGATTTCGTCGACATCCGAGACGTGCAGTAATCAATATTTCGTTCGCAACACTGGAATAACGTCCTACTTTCTCAATATGTCTGGATTTCTAACCTTGTTCTGGAAAAAACAATCGCATATAAAATTTAAGTTCTATTTGAACTCCAAAATTCACTACAATGCTCTTCAACTAGCCAATCTTCGGTAGCTTACTAAACCAAGGCTGCAAATTGCTATTCTTTAGAAGCATAAAATCTTTTAATCGAATTCGAATATAAATCATTAGTTGGGAAAAAAATTAAATCACGAAGCTGTTTATCGAACATGAGAATATAAATAAAACCAACAGAAAGAGAAACCACAAAATATTTGCGAGTAATGTTTACTAAAGTGAAACTATTGCTAAAAGAGATATCACAAGATATACACCAATTACAGCATAAATTAAAGGTATTAATATAAAAACATAAAAACCTTACGTTACTCGCAAGAAATCTTTCTCGGTTCACAGTTTAACTGAAAGACAATTTTCACTATCAACAACTAATTTCTTAGTCTTCCAAACATTCGAAGTTTTTTAACTTGAGAATATAAAAAACTCTTTAAGAAAAACAGTTAGAGTAATTAAGGAGCAGATTCCATCAAATAAATCAAGGAGAAGGGAAGACCAAGGAAATAACAAAACATGAAAAAAATAAAATAATAATTTACAAACTAACCACTGCTTTGACCAAACAAAACGATTTAAAACAAACCCATCACAGAAAAAAATGGACCTTTGACAAGGAACGGATATGAATAGGATAGGAAGTCAAAATATATGAAGATGCTCAAAGTTAAAATTCAGTGATTCAAAAGCATGCCCAGTAATGAAGTGTAATACAGTGGAGAGCTATGACAGTGAAGCACAAATAATTTAAAAAATAAAAGTGTAAATGGCTTGTCCTGAAGTAATACAAAGTAATTTGAACTATTGTTTTTATTTCCAGATCACTATAAAAATACTTAATAAGCGAAAACAAATAATAAAGTGCAGTAATCATTTTTAACAGGATGCCACTTAATCACGCGATACGGCAAGAATGAATATCTTCACTGGAAATTATTAAATCATACTTGAGCAGATTTTATATGAGTTGAAAAATGTCACTTCTGGAAAGCAAAACAGTTCCCAAACCATTGGACATATTATTCAAGGCCAAAATAAGTATTAATTCCCTTTACAAAAGTAACAATTAATGGCTGCCACGCAATCAGATACCGAATCCAATCTAATAGTTGCCCATAGAATAGATGAGGTTTCTGCCATCTATAAAAAAATTGCGATGAGTTCACCTGAAACTTCAAAACTCGGTAAAAAGTAAGATGAAATAGCTCCTCCTGAGTGACATACTTCTCAGCATCTTATAGATATGCACAGTAGTATATCATTCCTCATCAGGTGATAATTTAAGCAACAGTATCCACAGCAGTATATCATTCCTCATAAGACGATAATAATTCAATTTGCTTCAACAAAAATTTCAAAACTCGACGACAGAACTTACGGATGTTTAAACATTCTTTTAAGATCGACTTTCTCTTTGCAATAGGGACATGTCTGTTGTTTACCAATAACACACCAACCGCGGATGCAAAATTCGTGAAATAAATGCCCACATGACAAACGATATGTTGATTCATAGTCAGTTTCCGTGTCGTCTATTTCAAGATGATTCCCACACACTGCACAAACATCTGCTTCAAGAATTTTCTTTGGCAATCCTTCTTCTGTGTAATACTACAAAAAAAAAATTGTTAAGACGCATTTTAAAATCCTTCCATAAAGGAAAGAAGGAAAGGAAACAAACCCCAATTTTGGATGCAATACGATCGGTACATATATGCGCGAAATCACGACCCAGTACTCCATAATATAAGCCATAAAACAAAAGTAGCAAACCCGCGTCTATTAGGATTCTTGCTTTTATGGTGAATATATGATTCAAGCCCAGTAAAGTGAACATAATAAAAATATATCCTGCTATCCCGAGAATATAACTTAACTTATGCAAAAATAAGAACCATTTATAAACCAATCTGAAAGAACGACACATAACATGGTCCATGCATATTCTACCATCATATGACCACAAATACTATTGATTGTCGAGATATAAAATGAGGCTTTTCAAAAACTCATGCTTTTATCATGAGTTTTTGAAAAGCCTCATTTTATATCTCGACATGCGGCGTACGTTTCACAAGAAAGAAAAGTTTTTCGAGCTTACAACAAGCTGTAAAATATTCGATACACTTTAAAAAAATTATGGAAAAATTAAAACTAAAACATGTGATCAACCTTGGTGTTTTGCCTGATATTTGTGGACGAGTAGCCTTGTACCAAACTATAGTTGACAGGATGGAGAATACAATCCACGTTATCAAAAATCTCCACCAATATCTCCGGATACAGATAAATACAGGAATTAACCACATGCCCAGAAGTGTACATAACTGAAAAAAAGTGATTACAAACAAAAAAAGAAAAAAAAAGCAGCAAAAATCAAATATAGATTGCATAAAGACACATGAAGTTGTTCGCTTAAGAAAAATACATTAGATAAATTTTATACCTAATAATATGCAATAGTACGCTTCTGAATCTATCAAACTATTGACATTTTAACAAGCAGTGGATCAAAAGAAATAAAATGACGATTTGCATCATTAAATTGTATCAAAATGCCACTTAGGATCACGTATAGCATACAGCACAATGCTCATTACAAAACCACTGAAACTCAGTTCAGAACGAAATAACAAAAATTCTCAGCTATCTGCCAAAGATAATTATAACATTACGGAATAAGGGATTGAAAATTGGGAACGACTGAAGACAATGAATAATCTTATAAGATTCTGAAAACAAGCCTGATACGATTTGAAGTGCTTTTTTTTCCACTGTACCAATGCAATTTGCGCTACAACTAATGTTACTATCAGTATCAAAAAGATTTCCATATGCATTTGTTCATGTCCTCGATGCTTTTCGTGCAGTTTCGCATGCTCAATTCTCCATTGCTCTTCTTCATCCAATTCTTCAAACTGAAAATTAAAAGCACTCGCGAAATTTTTGCTTTATTTTTAAAGAGTCATACCATATTGAAGACAAAGAGAATAAATCAAAGGAAAAAGATTAAGAGGAAGAGCACAGATTCTATTTCTCCTGATGATACTGATCAGGTGAACTTACCGTTCTAATTAACAGTACTGTGTTCCAAAATCATAAAAACATCTTAGGATATTTTATAATATTAGAGGTTTAGCACTTTAACTATTTCAGTGAATTTAAATTATATCAATTATCACTATATTTCTCACCTATGACTTTAAATTGGCCTATTTTTTTCTTGGAAAAAAAATTTTGTGATATGCATGATGAAGCAAGTGATATATTAATAACTGTTCGCTGAATGATAAATGCATTTGAGTTCTCAAATGCATTTAGCAGGAAGTCGACAATGACATTACCTCTCTGTTATCATTCACTATATGATACTGCACACTAGTATTGCCATTCAAAGGAGATTACCTTGTCAGGACCAAAAGATACCACATACGCTATATTATATGGATACTAAAATATATCCTGTTGAATAAAGCAAAAGAATTGAAATTAAGAGAAAAGAAAACCTACTGGGATTTCATTCTGTAATCGAATAGCTCCTTGAAATTGTTGCGTATTGTGCCGTTCCATTCTTATGTTCAAGCACTACGTTGCTATGCAAGTGAACTAAAAGTTAATGAATTGAGAGTGTCAATATGCATACCTGTCATTACTGCTTATAAACAAGCAGCAATTACAGGTAAGTTCATAGATTGTATTTTATTATTCATTAATATATAATTAAACACTTATTACAGTAGAGAGAGAGTGTCAAAGTTTTAAAACTGATAGTACATATAATCGCAATAATTAGAAAATTATGTTAATTAATACAATGTATGCTCTGAAAATAATTAAGCAATATCCGTGGCCTTACCTGCACAGCTTTGTCCTTATAACTTTCTCAGGCCTCCCGTCTCGTCAAATAAGCATCTTACCCGGTAGCCAAGTGTCAACACGTAAAAACAAAAAGAGCCAGAGTCGGAAATTTTTCAAAAGAAGCGGTTTGTAACGCAAAGATATTGGACATCAAATACCAGAAGAGGACAGATATACGTCATAGTAACGCTATTTATGTGATGCATTCTTTCTGATATGCTCTGTTGTGCGGCTTGTTTTGGAGCTGATTTTAGAGCTCGTTTCAATTTATATTTATGCCAAAATTGAGGAGTTGATTACGATCAGACTTGTAAAATTTATGTTCGAATTTGCTTCTAATCATCAGCAATTCGATATATTTAATCTTTAGTCTTAAACAGTAAAAGCGAGAAGGAAACTGATTTTCCTATTCTTACAGGTTTTTTATTCGCTTTTGTAATAGATATAGCCTAATCAGTGATAACATACTACCGCTTCTTGAAAACACTTAACGATGGTAATTATCACTCAGACAGAAGATGTTGGAAGTCATTCCTCCTCTTCAAAAGATGACGGCAAGAAGGACGACGATACGGCAAGGTATGCACATTCGTTCAACATATTCCTTTATCTAACTGTCAATATAAATGCCCAGTATTTGATATATTTCAAGAATATACTCTTCCTGCATGCACTTTTTGTTGCCTTAAAAAGATTGTTAGAGTATAGATGGATACTTTTGCTTTAAAGTACCTCTATAGCCGTGTGGTAATGTGACATTTGTTTTAATCGATAATGATTTAATCTGCGAACTGCTTTATTTTCCGGAATGATATAATTTTATTCCCCGACCGATCACATAACTGTACGACTTTTTCGAAGGAATTTAACGACCAAAGAATAAGTTACAGATTCGATTGCAACATATGTTTGGATGTGGCACGCGATGCTGTAGTCTCGATGTGTGGTCATTTATTCTGTTGGCCATGTCTTCATCAGTGGCTTGATACACGTCCTAATAGGCAGCTTTGTCCTGTTTGCAAATCTGCCATTAGCAGAGATAAGGTTAATTTTCTTATTACAATACTACGATGAGGAAATGCGTTATGGGATCTAACATTTGGATTAAATTACGATTTTATCAGAAAAATAATCCTTGAAATATTTAAATTACTTCAAACAGGTGATACCGCTGTATGGAAGAGGCGGTAATGATACAGATCCACGAGATAAAGTCCCGCCGCGTCCAAGAGGTCAACGAACTGAAATGCCTCAGG